TACAAAATCTACTTAATATAAGTGATGGTTACAGAATTATCTCCCCTGACACTCCCCTTTTTACCTATCACAACTCACAAGGACATGCTAGCAGATTAGACCGCATTTACATAAGTAATAAATATGCAACTTACATCAAATCAATCAAACATATACCACTTCATTTCACTGACCATAAAGCAGTGGAACTAAATATCAACCTTAACAATCTTAAATGGGGTAAAGGATATTGGAAACTTAACAATTCTATTCTAGATGATAAAAACTACCAAAATAAAACAAAAAATACCAAATCATTGACAACATACAATGGTGGGAAAAAGGTAAAGCCGCTATTAGAAATATTACACAAAATTACTGTCAAGCCTTAGCAGTTGAGAACAAACATATCCTCAGTAACCTTTATCAACAACTGGAATCCCTAGAAAATGAAATACCTAGTAAGAATAACTCTATAAACGAGATTAAATCAAAAATTGAGCTTATAGAATATAATACCAAACAAGGCTACGTTATACGTTCAAAATTAGAAATACCCCAAATTGATGTATCTACTAATTCTAAAATATATAAATTAGCAGAAGTTAAAAAGGGTGCAAAAAAACAAATTAAACAACTGATCAATCAAAATAATACAATCTGTGACAATAAACAAGATATATTAGACACAATTCACCAATTCTACCAACAACTATATACTTCTCAAAATATTAATGATAACTTAATGAAGTCCTATATCGAAAACAGTGACATAAACACACTAACAAACACGGAAAGAGATTCAATATCACATTTTATATCTAGAGATGAAGTCCTTAAGGCGTTACAAAAATTTAGAACAAACCGTAGCCCGGGTATAGATGGTATTCCAGGAGATTTCTACATAAAATTCTTTGACATTATAGGAAACGATTTAACAGAAGTATTAAACAACATCTATCTACAGGGGGAATTATTTAACACAATGAGAACTGGTATCATAACAATTAACTACAAGAATAAAGGCGACCATCGATTACTCAAGAACTATAGACCGATAAGCCTGTTATGTGTGGACTAACAAATTAATCTCTAATACACAAACAGGAGCTGGACCAAATAAAAGCATTTTTGATAACCTATATTCAATAGATACAATACTAAATTATATAAACACAAATGAGTCCAGTGCCTATATATTATCATTTGACCAAGAAAAAGCCTTTGATCGCATTGAACACAACTATATCATAAATCTACTTAAACATATTAATTTCCCAAATTACATCCTTAACTGGGTTACAATATTGTTTAAAAACTTGATTAGTAAAGTCCAAGTAAATGGATCCTTTTCCCAAAATATTAAAATTAACCGATCGATTCGTCAAGGATGTCCACTATCCATGATTCTATACTCATTGTGTATCAACCCCCTTGCTTCATACATAAACAAAAACATCCTCATAAAAGGCATCAGGATCCCTAACCACCCTTCAGAGATTAAGATATTTTAGCATGCAGATGACTGTTCTGCTATAATATCTAGACTTTCTTCATACAGCACTCTCCTCAAACAATTCAAAACATTTGGCTCTATATCTGGCTCCAAACTAAACCATGATAAAACTGAAATCCTTTCTGTTGGAAAACCATCACACTACTCCTATCCTGTAAATATAAATATTAATATTAAAACAGACGCTATAAAATTACTAGGCATTTGGTTTGGCTCAAATAAAATGGAAAAGAACTGGCTACCCCTTGTTCAAATAATCAATTCAACCATCCAGACATGGGAAAATCACTCTCTTTCATATAAAGAAAAAGTATGCATCTTAAACACCTATATACTCAGCAAACTATGGTTTGTTGCTAGGATAGTTCCTCCCTCAAACTCAATTATTAAAAACATAAATAAAATAATCTACAATTTCATCTGGGAAAATAAAAGTGAAACAATTAATCGAAACACCTTGAACCTAGAGCATAAAAATGGTGGCCTTAAAGTGCCAAACATTCGACTAAAAATCCAGGCAATGCAACAACAACTTATAGTAAAAGCAATCAAAGACAACAACAGTCCCTGGTTAGGCCTATACATATACTGGCTAGGATTTACTACAAGGGATACTCTGCCAAGATATGCATCCAATAATTATACCCACTCGGAAAAACTCCCCCAATCATATATAGATATAAAAGAAACTTACATTAGCCTCAAATCATCCATCAAATATACATACAATACAAAACTTAAAGACATATACTGGTCCCTAATTGACTTATTACAGACACAACCAAAAATAAATAAACAATTACCTCATGTTGACTTTTCAAAAGTCTGGACAAACCTCTATAAATGCTCCTCCTTATCTGAAAAAGAAAAGGATTTCATGTATACAATCATCAATAATGCAGTACTAACAAAAGATATTATGCTATACAGAAATATATATACTATCAACTTTAAATGCCACTATTGTAACCGAGCAACTGAATCTTACCATCATTTATTTCTGAATTGCCCCAAATTAAAATTCTATAAATGTTTCATTACTACACATATAAACAACATTCATCTCACCAAAGAATTCAAAATCAACAACAATACAATCCATCTACACAATATAAAATCTAAATACATTCATGATATATACCTATACCTGTCGATCATATGGTCTAACCGAACACACCCTCTATCCACCAATATTTCACAAGAGCTTATATACCAATTCTATACAAAAAGAAAACAAAAATAAAGATTACTCTCTCAAGCTCGAGTCTTCACTACCTTATGACCCTCCTTAAGCCTAGGTTTGTGTCGTCATGTCTGAATTTATACTCTGCAACTTCTCCCATGAAATATTGACTTTGCTACTATAATAAGTAGCTACAACCATAGACATCTTCTTATATTTCTTTCGTATATGAGCACTCATTGCAAATTTTTTTTTTTTTTTTTTTTTTTTTAAGAAGGATTTAGGCCTACAAGCGAAAATAACCAAACGCCTGTAGGCCTACCCCATATAAATTCTGGAAAATTTTGGCTTAATTGATAAACCAATATTATACAAAAGGAAATAAAATCGAAATCACCAAGCTTCAGCCTACTCTGCCTTACCGAATTCTCCTGTATAAGGCAAGTTATCGTCCTGTATGAAGCTTCCATATTAATTACTCTACTATATGACTAAACAGACCGTGCTATTTACTTTAAGTTGTCACAACTTGACATCTTAGTCATCTTTCGTTTTCGTTAAATGGCACTATCTCACTCTGTCATATAAATAAAATACCTATACACCCACTGAAATATGTCCAACAGTAAAATAGAAATCTATTAAAAACATTTAAACACTAACTCAAGTTTTACCCGTTTGTTTTACCGCTATTCAGTCACTGTAATCAACACTCACCTCTAACATTAACATGGCCATCATAACATCCCACAATTCCCTATGCACGTTCTTTTTGTGCTGGGAAACATCACACTCTCTTTCAACCAGACGCTTTTCCACTACAGACTTCAAATATATTTTTAGCTGTATATAAGAAAGTAGCTATAATATTAGGAACTTTGATTGTATTTTGTATTATATTACCGTTTGTATATATCATCTCATATTGACTTAAATTATAAATTTAAATTATAAATTATAAATTATCTATTGCATTGTTAATATAATTATGCATAACTGAATGTAATTATATGAATTTTATAAAAAAAAAAAAAAAAAAAAAGAGACCCGTAGAGGCTGAGAGGTCTCCCGGACCTCTGGAGAGGATCTGCCCTCGACACCGGGCCGAGGGGTCCTGTGAGGCCGAGGGGAAGCAGCTATAGCTAGACGTAACTTTACCCAACCAAATGATGTTATTATGTACCTGTAAATATGTTATCCAGTATTAAAATATCTTTTTAATAAATAAGAGTTATGTATTCTATCACAATAATGGGAAATTACACCTCTATTCTGAGCTAATGGAATGGATAAAAAAAATAATATATTCTACTTTCATTTGATAGACGTAACGTTGGATTTTATTGGTTGATAAAAATAGATGAGTTTGGGCGAATGTTGGCATAATTGTGAATAGGTTGCCAACGAACAGGTTGCCAGCTGGATCGGTCGAATAGGTGGCTAGCCTCTGTTCGGTCCTTTATCTGGCCTGTGGAGAGATCAAAATGTATTATACATTTAAAATACCGGTAAGTGAGTTTTGTGGGAGGAATCGGGGATTTTAGAAGTGAATTCCGGTGATTGTAAATGAATTCCGGTGATTGTAAATGAATTCCGGTGAATTCCGGTGATTAGTCTACCCGACTGACAGTACTGACCCAATTCTCGGCCCCCAGCTAGAACCGCAATCTTCGATACTTCCACACGTATCCGTCTCGTCGGACCATGTTCGGGATAGAAGATAATCTCAGTTTTATGGCACGTATTTATTCTGTTCAAATAATAAACATCACAAACTCACAGAGCTCCCAAATCAAAGAGGCCAGGACGTATTTCAAACTATTTCGAGGACTTCCAAGAATATTCTATGGTGCCATGAAATGTATTGGTTGGTTCAGGAAAAAAAGAAACATTTAAGTTTGGTAAATGAAAATCGATAATTAATTCCACCTGTTTTGCGGTGTATTCCAGTGACTTTTAGAAATTATTTATGGTGCCACAGAAATGGGGGATAGAGATTGTTTCATTTCATTCCAATTATTGTGTGTCTTCAGTGTTTTAAATAGTAGCGCGAACACATTCATTCCGTACGCTCACTTAACAACGGCTAAACATGTGTTTTGTTACCCGCAGCTTTCGACGATGAAGGTCAAGGTAGTGAAACGTCCGCTCATCGTAACGTACGCTGACTTCAACCCAATGAATATTTCACTGTTATTATGTACACCGTAAAATGATGGTTGAGTTCGAATTTCGTGAAAATCTGACTAAAACTGCCGGACAAAATGGCCATCTCTTGTACGCAAATAGTGTAGATATATGGTATATCTAGGTTGTGGAACCTCTAGAGGCGACAATTTCGATGAAACTTTGAATTCAAAAATGTGGTCGTATAGCCTATTGTTGTCGCCCCCGTCCGTCCGTGCGTCCGGCGTCCGGCGTCCACATTTAATTGCGGACGCTCTCTAGAGGCTAATGTTAATATTCGATTGACTTTAAATTTATACACAGTGTTTAAAGGAGCTAAATCGCTAATATTTGGGACCTAGAAATTGATCCAAATCATGTAATAATGTAATCTGATTGTATAATGAACTGGGGGTCACATGGCTAAGTGGGTAAGACGCTGGCGCGCTAGCCTGGAGGTCGGGTGTTCGATCCCTGCATTGGCCGAGAAAGTTCATCCAGATCTTCCGGCGTGGTTCCCCCTTGTCAGTGATTGCAGGATGGAGGGCCTGACAAGGACAGCTGGCTTTGGATGAGACGAAAAACCGAGGTCCCGTGTATATATTGGAATGTACGTAAAAGATCCCCTGGCAGTTGGAATTCGATATAAGAGTAGGCGATAGTGCCGCTGCCTGGGCAAAATTTCCCTCATAGCCCACTGTATGGCATATGCCCATCTTCATTAGCCCAGTATAGGAGCAGAACAGTAGGACGTTAAACCCCATTTCATTTCATTTTGTATATGAACTGATTTACATTCAGTTGTTTCCGTTTTGACTCTAATTTCAAATCAGTTATGTCCAGCGAAATACAACATGAGTCTCAACCGAATAGAAATTTCTAGCGTCTGGTTATTCCAGTCTATTGTGCATGCTCTCCAGATAAGTTATGGAGTTTTGGAATATGTCTAGCCTCGTTCTTTCTGGTCACGTGTTAACAAATGACGCTGAAACGCACCATGGTACATGATTCGTGTACCAGTGGTAAAATGTTTATTTTGTCTTAAATATTGGATATCAGAAGCCTACCTTTTCTAACATCAATGTTGATTTGAATTGACAAATAATTCGTGTTTTCAACGTGTAAGACTTTGAATGATATTGAGTTAGGGACTCAATTGGCTACTTTAAGGTCATGAGATGAATAAGCCTATTGATTTTCAGCAATGTCCGTTATTTACTGCCAGAGTTATTGCCCTTGATCACTTTGAAAAATGTTGTGGATACTCTAGAGGCCAAAGTTAATATCCTATTCAATTTAAATTAAAACACAGTGTTTAAGGTCGTGAGACAAAGAAGCCCAGTGATTTTCAATGATTGCCGATAAATACTACCAGAGTTATGGCCCATGATCACTTTGAAAAATCTTGTGGATGCTCTAGAGAGACCAAAGTTATCATCTATTGATTTTCAATGAATTTTGAAAACTTGAACAGCTAAATCCATAATATTAAATGTTTCATATACTAGACGTTAGCATGGAGCAGATCTGAAAGCCAAACAAATTCTAATGATTCTCTGATAATTACTTAATGAGTTGTTACTAATTTAGTTTATATAAATGTTTCATTACTGACAATAGAAAAAATATGCAACCACTGTTGTTGACTGCTGCTTTGGGTGTATGTTTTGTTGCCTGGCAACCTATCTTTACATTTCTTGTACGTCAAACCATTTTTCTGGATTTTTTCACTGATAAAAGATAATTTTTCGAACTTTTATACTAATAGGAAAATAGACATGATATTTGGTATGATGTTAATATTTTTATATGCCCACATTTCCATGTGGACGTATATTGTCGGCACCCCTGTCTGTCTGTCCGTCTGTCCACAATTGTTTGTGAACTCTCTACAGGTCACAATTCTTATCCGATTTTGACGAAACTTGAAATATAGGTTTATCCCTAAAAGATCTCGGCTGCTTTCGAAACTTCATGGATTATGGCCCCTGTTTGTACAAAAAATCACATTTTTATGCGCCCACATTTTCATGTGGACGTATTATGCTGTTGCCCCTGTCCGTCCGGACGTCCGTCCACAATTTGTTTGTGGACACTCTACAGGTCACAATTTTTATCCGATTTTGACGAAACTTGAAATATAGGTTTATCTCCAAAAGATCTCGGCTGCTTTCGATATTGGCATGTATCGGATCGAAACTTCATGGATTATGGCCCCTGTTGGTACGAAAAATCACGTTTTTAGCTTGTGGACCCTATAGAGGTCACAATTTTTATCCGATTTTGTTGAAACTTGAAATGTAGGTTTTTAACCCAAAGATCTCAGTTCCATTCGGTCTTCACGCATATCGGACTGTAACTTCCAGGTATGAAAAATCGCGTTTTTAGCTTGTGGACCCTATAGAGGTCATAATTTTTATCCGATTTAAAAAAACGTATTATTATATCACTGTTACACCCTAAGGATGACTCAGCTCGAATTTCGTGAAAATCGGCCCAAAATTGACAGACAAAATGGCCGCCGTTCGTTCTCAAATAGCGTAAAAATATGGTATATCAAGGTTGTGGACCCTATAGAGCTCACAATTTTAATCCGATTCTGTTGAAACTTGAAATGTAAGTTTATAACACAAAGATCTTGGTTCCTTTTGATATTCGCGCATATCGGACCGTAACTTCCTGAATTATGGACCCTGATTTACGCAAAATCACGTTTTTAGCTTGTGGACCCTATAGAGGTCATAATTTTTATCCGATTTAAAAAACCGTATTGTTATATCACCGTTGCACCCTAAGGACGACTGAGTTCGTGAAAAGCGGCCCAAAATTGACAGACAAAATGGCCGCCGTTTGTTCTCAAATAGCGTAAAAATATGGTATATCAAGGTTGTGGACCCTATAGAGGTCACAATTTTTATCCGATTTTGTTGAAACTTGAAATGTAAGTTTATAACCCAAAGATCTTGGTTCCTTTAGATATTCGTGCATATCGGACCGTAACTTCCTGAATTATGGCCCCTGATTGTACGAAAAATCACGTTTTTAGCTTGTGGACCCTATAGAGGTCATAATTTTTATCCGATTTAAAAAAACGTATTATTATATCACCGTTGCACCCTAAGGACGGCTGAGTTCGAATTTCGTGAAAGTCGGCCCAAAATTGACAGACAAAATGGCTGCCGTTTGTTCTCAAATACTGTAAAAATATGGTATATCAAGGTTGTGGACCCTATAGAGGTCACAATTTTTATCTGATTTTCTTGAAACTTGAAATGTAAGTTTATAACCCAAAGATCTCGGTTCCTTTAGATATTCGTGCATATCGGACCGTAACTTCCTGAATTATGGCCCCTGATTGTATGAAAAATCACGTTTTTAGCTTGTGGACCCTATAGAGGTCATAATTTTTATCCGATTTAAAAAAACGTATTATTATATCACCGTTACACCTTAAGGACGGCTGAGTTCGAATTTCGTAAAAATCGACCCAAAACTGACAGACAAAATTAGCGTTTTTAGCTTGTGGACCCTATAGAGGTCATAATTTTTATCCGATTTAAAAAACCGTATTATTATATCACCGTTACACCCTAAGTACGGCTGAGTTTGAATTTCGTGAAAATCAGCCTTAAATTGACAGACAAAATGGCCGCCGTTCGATCTCAAATAGCGTAAAAATATGGTATATCAAGGTTGTGGACCCTATAGAGGTCACAATTTTTATCCGATTTTGTTGAAACTTGAAATGTAAGTTTACAACCCAAAGATCTCGGTTCCTTTCGATATTCGCGCAGATCGGACCGTAACTTCCTGAATTATGGCCCCCGATTGTACAAAAAATCGCTTTCTTTTTAGCTTGTTCTCTATCCATCTCTCGAAAATGTGGGCGTATCCTGCCTGGCAGCCGCTGGTTTACAATATATTTTTTGCATGGCCTAAATATTATTATATTTATGTTATATACAACTTTTAAAAATATTTTTCAGCCATACTTCCACGTAATTACTGATGGGTATTATTATGGTGAGATGAAGCGTAGGTGTACATATCAGCTACCTGTATTAGAGAGATTAGTGTATATAGTTTGTGGAGTGGGTAGTGTACTTGCTATTTGTTATCATGTTTTAATAGCTTCATCTAAATATCAGCATCATTTAAACTGGCATGACTTAAAGTCTGGCTGCAGTTTCTTACCATATAAAAAGGATGTTTCAAACTTTGAATGGACATTTTGGTATGGTTATTTCTGGAAAGCGCTGCCATGGCATGTTGGCCACATTGTGCTAGGAAGATTGTTAGAAGGATTGAATCTTACAAAATACAGACAACTGTTCTTTCTAACATTTTCTTTGGTTAGTTTAACCCACCTATTGGGTTTGAAAATCATACTTTTTTATGTGTTCCACTCGGCCATAGCTTTTGTGTCAACCATTTTCCATAAGAAAGTGATGGTATGGGTAATTTGCCTAACTCTTTTAATGACATTAAACCTAGATTACTTCAACAGCAACATGATGGTTCATGTGTATTCTAGTCAAGACAATACTGGGGATAAAAACTATTATTTATTTGTATTTTGTTTAGCTCTGGTTATTCTGCGGTATATTAGTTTCTGTTTGGAGAAGTGCGAGTTCAAGAAACCATTCAATATATACAGTTTTCTAGACATGTTAAATTATATATTTTATTTACCTCTGTTTTTTACTGGTCCTGTGTTGTCATATGACCATTTCTCCCAACAAATGGCAAAGAAACCTCCATTATGGACTCAAACTAGAATAAAAATGACATTAATAGGGTTTTCACGTGTTATATTTTGGGCTGTATTTAACGAATTTATTATCCATTACTTATACTTTGATGCAATTCATCATCAGCTGGATTTATTATATAAAATATCACTGTGGACATTAGTGGGTATAGCCTACTGCCAAGGACAATTTTTCTTTACAAAATATGTAGTTATGTATGAACTTCCCGGAGAATTGGCTAAACTTGATGGGATGGTGACGCCTATTGGACCTAAATGTGTTTCGTATGTGTATCGTTTTTCACACATGTGGAAATGTTTTGATCGTGGATTTTATTATTTTTTAAAAAAGTACATTTATATACCTGTTGGAGGTTCAAAACACGGATTTGTCTGGCAATTAACAGGATCTTTTCTGTGTTTTATGTTTATTTATATATGGCATGGTGCAGAAATCTACCTTTTATTCTGGTGTCTACTTAATTATCTTGGCTGTACTATTGAAGTTTTGGGTAGCTGGCTTGTACAGACCAATATTTGTAGAAAATATTTAGAAAAAATAGGAAATGACAATAAAAGAAGATTAAATGGTCTGGTATCAGTACCACTATATCTAATGTCCGCTATGGGGATATTTTTTTTCTTTGGGGGTAGTGATGTAGGTAAAATATTTTTCCGTCGCTTACTAATTGATATTTCATGGTCGGGTTTTATTTTATTTGTGTTTTTGTTGTATTGTAATATTCAAAATGCTATGTTAATACAAGACTGGCAATATAGAAATAAAGTTAAAAAACTCTAATTTGTAAATCTGTTTTGTTTCCTTTGCTACAATTTAAAATCAAACAGGTAATTTGCCATACAGGTATTTTCTACAATTTAGAATTATATAGGTATTTTCTGCATTTCAGAATTATTCAGGTATTTGCTACTATTTTAGCCTACTTTATAAACCTGAAAATTAGCAAAATCCTGCAACAATAAAAAGTATTTGTTATACTACAGTTGACAAAGTTTCCTGGGTGATATATTGGCAGTGGATAAATATAAATCATATTATGCAAGATCTGATTTATTTTACATTAAAGGATTTTGAACCGTGTTTAAACAGAACATAAAGTGCAGGGCCGATGGAAGCAATTCATGAATGCGGTGGGACTCTAGGCGAGTTTCCAGGGGCCGTTTAGGCCCCTAAAGCTCCTGTGGGTCTAGATCGTCGGAGATGCTTTCTGAGCCATTTCTGGCAAATGAAATTACTCAGCATGGAAGTTTTAATTCTTTTCTAAATCTCTTACCAGAAAACGCAGTCGCTGATGGTTTCCTGAGATCCTGAACTGAACATATATGCATAATAATACCAAGGTTGTGGACCACTAGAGGTCACAATTTTCATCCGAGTTTGATGAAACTTACACTGTATGTTTATAATCTAAAGATCTCGGTTCCTGGCGATATTCCTGGATTATGGCCCCTGATTGTACAAAAAAGACATTTTGAGCTTCTGAACTCTTCATGGGTCACAATTTTCATTTGATTGTAAAAACCGTTCAAATATCACCGTTACATCATAATTACGGTTGAGTTTAAATTTCGTGAAAATCGGACCGAAAATGGCCGCTCCCTTTTACGCAAATAGTGTAAAAACCATCTAGAGGTCAAAATTTTCATCCGATTTTGATGAAACATAAAAAATATGTTTATATCCCAAAGATCTGGGTTCCAGTCGGTATTGGACCGTAAATTTCTGGATTATGTCCCCTGATTGTACCCTCTAGAGGTCACATTTTTACACGCCCACATTTTCATGTGGCCGTGTATTGTCGTCTACACAAAATCACCCTTTGAGCTTGTGGACACTCTAGAGGTCACAATTTTCATCTGATTTTGATGAAAATTAAAATGCATGTTTATAACCCAAAGATTTTTTACACGCCCACATTTTCATGTGGACGTGTATTGTCGTCGCCACTGTCCGCCCGCCCACAATTTGTTTGTGGACACTCTACAGGTCAAAATTCTTATCCGATTTTCACGAAACTTGAAATATAGGTTTATCCTCAAAAGATCCCGGTTCCTTTCGATATTGGCAAGTATCGGATCGAAACTTTATGGATTCTGGCCCCTGATTCTACACAAAATCACCGTTTGAGCTTGTGGACACTCTAGAGCTCACAATTTTCATCTGATTTTGTTGAAAATTAAAATGCATGCTTATAACCCAAAGATTTTTTACACGCCCACATTTTCATGTGGACGTGTATTGTGGTCGCCCCTGTCCGCCCGTCCACAATTTGTGGACACCCTACAGGTCACAATTCTTATCCGATTTTCACGAAACTTGAAATATTGGTTTATCCTCAAAAGATCCCGGTTCCTTTCGATATTGGCAAGTATCGGATCGAAACTTTATGGATTCTGGCCCCTGATTCTACACTAAATCACCCTTTGAACTTGTGGACACTCTAGAGTTCACAATTTTCATCTGATTTTGATGAAAATTAAAATACATGCTTATAACCCAAAGATCTTGCGTTTTTAGCATGTGGTCCCTCTTTTTATGCGATTGAAAGAAACGTTTGAATATATCACCGTTACACCGTGATGATGGTTGATTTCAAATTTCGTAAAAATCGGACCAAAACTGCTGGACAAAATGGCCGCCCCCCGTACGCAAATAGCGTTAAAAAAATATGGTATATCAAGGTTGTGGACCCTCTAAGAGGTCATAATTTTGATCCGATTTTGAGGAAACGTGAAATACATGTTTATAATCCAAAGATCTTCGTTCCTTTCGATATTCGTGCATATCGGATCTTAACTTCCTGAATAATGTAAGAAAAATCGCGTTTTTAGCTTGTGCGTCCCTCTAGTGGTCACAATTTTTATGCGATTGAAAAAAAAAATGTTTGAATATATCACCCTATTAATGGTTGAGTTCGAATTTCGTGAAAATGGGACAAGAACTGCCGAACAAAATGGCCGCCCCTCGTACGCAAATAGTGTAAGTATATGGTATATCAAGGTTGTGAACCCTCTAGAAGTCACAATTTTGATCCAATTTTGATGAAACTTGAAATATATCTTTATAACCTAAAGATCTTGGTTCCCGACGATATTCGCGCATATCAGATCGTAACTTCCTGAAATATGGCCCTTGATTGTACGAAAAATCGTCTTTTTTTAGCTTGCAAAATGTGGGCGTATCTTGCCTTGTGTTTAAAACTGTTCAAATATATCACCGTTACACCATAATTATGGGTGGGTTCGAAACTTCCCGTCAAATGGCCGATCCCTTTTACGCAAATTGTGTAAAAACATGTAATACCAAGGTTGTGGACCGTCTACGCTGTAAAAAAAAGTGTGTAACGCTACTCTTTATCAAGTGAAATCTTAATCCATATTTGGTGTAAGTAGTGCTTTAAACTAAGAAAGAGTGGCTTTAGACGATTTGAAGTGCAAACTTACTCCAATGGGGTGTAAACCCTAAGCTACACTTATTTTGTGTAACAATATACATGATAAATTGTGTATGTTTACACTTACAAAAGTGAATCAGCTGTTCGCCCTTGGTCAGTGTTAAGTATACTGAAAATAAGTGTAATGAAACATAATTTTGGGTGTAATTTATTTCTCGAGGAGGGGTGAGTAACTAAAAACTAATAAAGCACTGAACGTGGTGTATTCTTACACACTTTTTGTAGTGAAACATTACGCTTATAATTCTAGCACGATAGAAGGTGTAACATTGATCTATTGATAACTATATTTATTGTGTTAATTTACACCAATCGTGGTGTATTCACATTTCGCTTGCTGGAGTGTAATATTAGCACGATAAAAAGTGTAACATTTCACTTAAAATCGTATAGATCGGTGAATATTTATACTTTATTTCGTGTATGTATTTAACACTATTTCTAGTGTACCATATACCAAACGAAAGTGTTTTATATTCATATTGATATTTACAGTGTTAATTTACACCAATGGTAGTGTATTCACATTGTGCTTGCTGGAGTGTAACATTGCACCTAACCTTGTTAAGATATACTGAGCGCCATGGAAAACGCACCACTTAGTTTTTCGTATAACAAAATGATCTTGTAAACATATCTTATTTATTTTGCTTCTTATTGTGAACAATATTCAAATGGGATCACATCAATAACAACACATTTGTACACTTATGGATGTTTAATCTGTAATCAACGGTACAAAGTCAGAGGGGTCAAAACCAAAAGTACGACACGGATGTCAGTAGCGCGTGTGTCCTCCACGGGCTCTTACGCACGCTGTGCAGCGACGTCGCATGGAATTTACTAATGTTTGAAAGAAGGCCTGGGGCAAATTGTTCTCTGTGGTCTCCGATACAGACGGCGTCCAATCTCATCCCAGACATGTTCTATCGGTGTCATGTCCGGAGACATGGCTGGCCAGTCCAAGACATTGATGTTGTTAGCAGCCAGGTAGTCCACACTAAAACGGGCGGTATGCGGACGTGCATTATCCTGTTGGAAGTGCTGAAGTTGTGGGTGCGCTCGAAACCTCGGAACAACAATTTTCCAGTCTACTCTTCTCCATGTCTGGTGTCCTTGAGCCCATATCAAACGCCGCTGACGGTGATGATCCCTGAGGATAGCTCCAACATAAGGTCGTCGTGCACGGAGTCCTACTTCTCTTAGACGACGTCTTACGGTGTTGGCACTTACTGATCCTTGTCTTCCGACGACTGCTGCACCTGTTCGAGTCGCTGGGCGGAATCTGTCACGCAGATGAGTGACCTGGATGTAGCGGTCTTGAGCCTGGGTTGTAACGCGTTGTGGATCAGGACGTTGACGGTCACGTGTTGATCGAGTAACTTGAACACGTTCCACCAACCTTACAATAGTGGACTGATGACAATTGAAGTGTCTGGCAATAGCACGTGTAGACATGCCAGTTCTGGACATTCCCATGGCTTCATTCCTGTAGTGGGGTTCGTATACAATGAACGAGATATACCAACAATCAAAGAAGAAACATTTATTCTCAGTCAGGCAAGCATGGTTGACATACAATGCTCAAAAACAAAAGCGCCACCTCTTGGCATCAAAGGGATATAACTCTGTTTATACTTATACATCTCAGACCACAATAATATCAACAATACTGTTGTAGGACACAACATTCCTTCCCTCTTTTAGATGAGATTGTAACTTAATGAAATAAAACAATGGACAGATAACATGTACATTTAAATGTATCGAAATACATTTAGGTCTAGATTTCTGTCTGTTTGGTCTACGCGTATTCTCCAAAAGAGGATTTTGACGGATTTCTTGATCCCTTAGATCAATATTTGGATTGATTTGATTTTCACATTCTATTTCACTTTGAGGATTTGGCACAATAAGATTTTGATTTTCCTCCATTTGTACAGTGGAACTTTCACTACCGGTAATTGATTTATTTTTCACAATAAATTTTTTCACTATTACGAGCACTTCGATGGATTCGATATTTGAGCACTATCATTATCTTTTTCCTCCAAAATATTTTGAAATTGATCTTTGGTACTAAAGGAAAGAATATCACACATTGGCATTTCCAAAAGCTTAAAATGAGATGTATTTCGCGTGATCATTTTTCCATCTGATAATCTTTTTGCGACTATCATCGTACCTTTCACCTTTGTGATAATATACAGTTGTGATTCATATGGCGTAGAAAGTTTACATTTCCGTTTCATTTTCACTTAAACTGGATTATTCACTTTTAATTTATGACATTTTGTGTGTCGTCGATGACACTGTGCTGTATCTT